ATATATATATATATATATACATACATATATATATTGTACTCAGTGTACATGTAAAATTAGCCATCCTTCCCAAGATTTGTATAACTCTCAAGAACGGCACCGTAAGTGGCAAACCAGCACACAACCAGCACATGAACCCCTAAAACCCTACACCCCTAAAAGGGCAAGTGGTTGCGGTGGTCATACAACTGCCCAACAGCCAAGAGGAACACAAGAAAGAAACAGAACAGCCAACAAACTCTCATCAGCCGTAAACAAACAGAGTGCGCCATCTCTGCTCAAAGAGAATGGCACTCACACCCACGCATGTGCTACGATTTACAACAAAGATGGCTCAACATGTACAGCTCAGAGGATCCTACCCTTCCTGTATACTGTGTATCTCCCCATTTGCAGAAGTAGGTACGGTTGTTAATCAACCCCAGGATGGCGAGCGTGACGCGTACGGGCACAGTAGTATAAGCGCAGACGTCAGCCGACGCCGTACTGTAGTTGTACACAGGGGAGACATCTGTGTAGCCACCCGATGGAATCTCAATGGGAATCTGATGGACAGGGAAGGGCCCGGGTACATGTCAGTACATGTGTAGGTAAATAGGTATATGTAGAGGTAAGTAGTGTGGGTACATAGATGTATGTGTAGGTGAATAGTGTAGGTAAATAGAAGTATGTGTTGGTGAATAGTGTAGGTAAATAGATATATGTGTAGGTGAATAGTGTAGGTGTGCCTAGGAGCTCTGTCGTTCTGTAGGTGCATAACTATGTGTGGTTCTAGCTACCACTGTCCATAGAATACCCATTCAATATATAAACAATTCATGGTGAACGCTTTCGAGTTGAATAGGAATAATCAAGGTAGGTAGAAATGATCTAGGTAGGCAGGAAAGGCTATGTATATATACAACTACCACACAGACCTGTTTAAAAACGGCCATTGCAATACATACTCGCCTTTGAATACACACATCAACACATTCAAAAACACGACATCATCTAGCACCATTCACTATCCCCCCTCAACACACCTCTAAATGTACAAATCTCTACATTTAAAAAACACACACCTGGTTTAGAAGGAAGCGCGAGGGTATGTGCCACTGCATGGCCTGTGCTGGCACGTGAGCGTCTGTGGCCTTTTCTTGGCCAAAGAGTGTGACGATGTCCAGTGTTTCACTGTGCTGTGTGCGTGTGCGGCAAATCAGCAGCACCGCAAAACTCACCGTCGCATTCTGCTGCGACAACTGTGTACGATGACAGAAGAGAGGAGAGGCATGCGCAGGTGAACGGATGGGGATGTGAGTGAGTGAGACGACTGTACGGACTAACGGGTGAATGGCATACGCAGGTGAGTGGATGGTAACTGTATATGAAAAGAGGAACAGTCCATGTATTGCGAGTGAGTGTACTGGACAGCATATGTATGTGCATGAGCATGAGCATGAGCATGAGCATGAACATGAACATGTGTATATGTATTTGTTAAAGTATGTACCTGTATGTGTACGTGTACGTGCATGTGTGCGCACAAGCTTTATGATTATGTTGGGTGTGCGTGTACAACACATCGAACATCGCAGTTGAGCTTACAACAGCAAAGTATATCGAGTATGATAGCAGCTGTAAAAGTACGTCTATAGTAAGTAATATACAAACGGAGACATCATTTACACCCAAACAGAAATCTATGTACAAACACACATACGTACACACACACAGATATATACAAATACACACCCACACTCTTACACATGTATACACGTACACACCTGGTTCTTAGCCGTGAGAGTAGTGGTGTATCTGGTGCCCCCATCGGCTGTTGCTGTTGTGTCGTCTGTGTGCATGGCCTGTACAGCCACTGTGTGTGTGTGCAGCACTGACACACGCGTGGAGAAGGCGCTTGTGTTGGGTTGCACATGCTCACTTTGTACTATCACGTACACCTCCAGGTCCATGGAGGGCTGGCTACCCGAAGCGGTCTAAGGGTTTAGGGTTTTTAGGGTTACGGGGGGTAGGGTTTTAAGTATTGGGTTTTAGGTTTAGGGTTTTAGGGTTTAGAAAAAGGGGCATACAAGGCACTCGTTGGTGACGTAAACTGTAGTGCGGGCACCGCCTCACTCTCTCACTCTCGAGTACAGCAGCGCACACACATTGACAGGCACATACCATCTTACCAGCAATGTTATAGTGCACGTGAACACGGACAGCAGACTATAGATTATCGTGCACACATATACCATACTACTACTTATAAGGTACACACACACAAGCACGATGCTATATATAATAGTACTAGCACACACACGCACCATCATATAAACCGCATTCCATATACACACGTAAAGCATACTACAAGTTATAGCACACACAAACGTAAAGCCTACTACAAGTAATGGTACACACACACACACACAAACCATACTACAAGTGATAGTACATACACACACACAAACCATACTACAAGTGATAGTACACACACACACACAAACCATACTACAAGTGATAGTACATACACACACACAAACCATACTACAATGATAGCACATACACACCATAACCATACTACAAGTTAAAGTACATACACACACACAAACCATACTACAAGGTATAGTACATACACATACACAAACCAAACTACAAGTGATAGTACACACACACACAAAAACCATACTACAAGTGATAGTACATACACACCATAACCATACTACAAGTGATAGTACATACACACACAAAAACCATACTACAAGTGATAGTACATACACACAAACCATACTACAAGTGATAGTACACACATGTATTGCCTGGTATCTGCCCACTCTCCTCCTACCATCCACCCACCCACCCACCTGTAACACCACGCCAAGCTCAGCGCCACACGGCGTGTTGGTAAACAGAAAATCTTTGAGCACAGGCATACGCTTGGCCACTAAAAGGTCCACCAGGTACGCGTCATGCGCGCTGCCGCTTATTCCGTCACCATCCACATCGTACAGTTTGCGGCCAGTCAGAGCGTTTGGGTCGTGCGCGGTGTGGTTGCTTATTTCGTCACCAGTTGTGGTGTCGAAATTACGCCTGGTGTGTAGGTCGTAGGCAAACAGATACTCGGCATCGGCTGAGTTCACTTTGCAGTCGGCGTTGATGTCACCTGTGCGGGTGGGAGGCAAGCCAATGAGCGACTGGACTCTAAAACTCTAAACTCTAAGCCTTGGACCCTAAACTCTCCTAAAAAGGAATGCTTCCTCCTACCATACTACCCTAAACCCTAAACCCTATACCCCCTATCTTCCTCACCCCAACACCCGTGACACCCCCACTCGTCGGCATACCTTTGTACCTTAGCCCAGTGCAACACGTCTGGCACAGATTAGGATACGCACACGCCTCGTCGTCACACACCGACTGCTGTTGTGCCGTGCGCACCAGAGACCTGCCATGGCTCACAGAGTGTGGGTGTGTTGCTGTAGTAGTCCCCCTCAGAGACCTGTCATCCCCCCAAGAGTGTGGGTGTGTTGCTGTAGTAGTCCCCCCCACAAAGACAGGCGTGTGTGTTCCGGTGGTGGTGGTTGGAGTGTGTCGTCTGCTGCTGGTGCGGGGTGTCCTGTTTGGTGTATATACCCCCTGTCCTGTCCCGTGACTTAGGGCTGTGGGTGCGTGTGGGGTGTGTGTGTTTCTGCGCGTGGTGGGCTCAATGGCCCCACTGGCTACGGTGGGTGTGATGGCCAACTCCACTACACCCGCCACTATGTCTCGGTCGGGTGCAAAGGTGCGGTTGCCATCGACATGCAGAGTGTTAATCTGTCACGTGAGAAAATAAGCCGCGTGTGTCAGGCGTAGTGGATTGATCCGAGATGCTCGAGGTGGTGATAAGGTTTTAGTTGAAGGGATTAAACCGTCACGTTAGAGAACCACGCCTAAACGCCCATAACCCAGCACTACACAACTGCACTAAAAACCCTACCCCTGAAACGGTCTGCACCGATTAATTAAACTTATTAACCCAAAACCCTAATACACCACTAAACCTTAAACCCTAAAACCCACGTACTACTGTGGCTACTCGCACACACCTTGCCCTGGATGGTGGGAGAGCTCTTGGTGCAGCCCTGCTGTGTGGTGATGACGGTGGTTGCTATAACAACTTGGTGGCCGCTGAACTGGGTGTAGTATGGTGCGTCATTGGTCACTCGGATGGTCAGCAAGCCTGGCTCACTGCTGTTCTGTCGCAGTTGCAGCCCTTCGGCTGTAGAGGTTTAAGGCCGAAAGTGTGTGGGGGGGGTGGGTGGCGTTTGTGTGTGTTTGTGTGTGAGTGACATTAGTATTACATAGGTTTAAAAAGTCAAAGTCAAAGTCAAAGTCAAAGTGAAGCGGAAACTAAAACTAAAACTAGAACTGAAATTAAACTAGAACTAAAACTAAAACTTAAACTAAAAATAAAACTAAAACTAAAACCAAAACCAAAACCAAAACCAAAACAAAACCAAAACTACAAACCAAAACTACAAACCAAAAACCCCCACAGGGTTGCTATACCTTCGTTCAGAGCTCCGAAGGATATGCAGTCGGGGTCAAACTGTAGAGTGATCTGTACTGAGGTGAGGTTAAACCCTCCTGTGTTGACGCTGAGCTGTATCGCATGCGCACCGTCTACTTCACAATCCAACGGGGGACCTAGTAACCAATGAAATGCGAGAGATATGAGCAGAGGACTCCATGAAGTAAAAATTGCGGACGTAACAACCAATGAAATGCGAGAGATACGAGAGGGCCCTACTAATTCTTTCGTTAGAAACATATTTGAACGTATGTTTTAGCATAAATTCCTACATACAATCGAACATATACTTTAACATACACCTTTAACATATATTTTACCACACATTTTAACATAGCTTACAGCACACATTTTAACATACATTCTAACATACATTAATTTAACATACATTATAACATGCACACATTTTAACATACATTCTAACATACAATTTAAAATACATTCTAACATACAATTTAACATACACTATAACATACATTTTAACATGCATTCTAACATACACTTTAACATACATTCTAACAAACAATTTAACATACATTCTAACATACAGTTTAACATACAATTTGACATAGATTCTAACATACAGTTTAACATACAATTTAACATACATTTTAACATACATTAATTTAACATACATTATAACATGCACACATTTTAACATACATTCTAACATACAATTTAAAATACATTCTAACATACAATTTAACAGACATTATAACATACATTTTAACATGCATTCTAACATACACTTTAGCATACATTCTAACATACAATTTAACATACATTCTAACATACAGTTTAACATACAATTTGACATAGATTCTAACATACAGTTTAACATACAATTTAACATACATTTTAACATACATTAGTTTAACATACATTATAACATGCACACATTTTAACATACATTCTAACATACAATTTAAAATACATTCTAACATACAATCTAACATACATTCTAACATACATTTTAACATACATTCTAACATACACTTTAACATACATTCTAACATACAATTTAACATACATTCTAACATACATTTTAACATACATTCTAACATACACTTTAACATACATTCTAACATACAATTTAACATACATTCTAACATACAATTTAACATACATTCTAACATACATTTTAACATACATTCTAACATACACTTTAACATACATTCTAACATACAATTTAACATACATTCTAACATACACTTTAACATACATTCTAACATACAATTTAACATACATTCTAACATACAGTTTAACATACAATTTGACATAGATTCTAACATACAGCTTAACATACATTCTAACATACAGTTTAACATACATTCCTGTGCACATACCATCCATTTGGCCCACACAACCGATGTCGACGTCGCCCACATCCGCCAGCAGATTGGCTGCCACTAAGAAAGTTTTACACACCAGATCACTGCACAGACTGACCTCAACTGCCAATGGGAGTACAAAGACAGGCAATAAGGACTTCAGCCAAAACCCTAGAACCCTACATCGCAGATACGCTCCGGTATGATGATTCTATATAGTGCACTGTATATGACTATGTACGGTGCACCGCATTTGACTATATTTAGCACATTGTATATGACCACATATAGCACATTGTATATGTTTTAGAATACATATAGTACACTTTATATGACTATGTATAGTACACTGTATATGAATATATATAGCACATTGTATATGAATACATATAATACACTGTATTTGAATATATATAGTACACTATATGACTATGTATAGTACACTGTATGACGATGTATAGTACACTGTATATGAATATATATATTACATTGTATATGACTACATATAGTTCACTACATATGATAGAACAGTAGTAGGTACTACAAGCGTCAAGACTATATATATAGCGCCAGGCCAAATAAAGTCAATCTTCTATAAAACTCAATGAAAGATTCGACACTAAACCAGGTTTGAGTGAAGAACACATTCCCCACTAAACTAAGTTTAAGCCGAACCATAATAAGTTCAAATCAAGCACACTTCCCCCGCTAAACTAAGATTAAGCCAAACTAAGAAGTTTAAGTCAGGCACAAACTGATCACTGAACCAAGTTTAAGTCAACGCCACAGTGCACGCAATGCCTAGCACCCCCTCGCACCATGTTCGCGACTGTTCTTAAGAAGTGTCAGCAGTGGCAAGGCTCCTGAGTTGTCAATCCAAATGACATCTGCGCGATCTGTGTTCACTGTATATGCCTAGGTGAGTAGGTAGACAGGTACGTAGGGTTTAGGGTTTATGTGATTTGAGGGTTTTGAAACGGTAAGACACACATGACGATAGTCATGACATAGCTTCCACGCTAACGACGGCAGATGGAGTCAAAGACATTCACACCCCACCCAACACCACTACCATCGTCTCAGGTGCTTTACGTTTAACGTACATTGCAGATGTGCTTGTATGTGTATATATACATATTTCACAGCACGAGCAAAAAAACACATTGCAGTCTGAGTCCTTTGTATGCTATTTCCTTGTATGTATATATAGATGACATATACGCATTTGCCCG